AGTCTTGAGAAAGACTGTTGTTGGTAGTGACTGACAGTTTGTTATGAAGTGTAATGTTCCAGGTGAGTGTAGTCTTGAGAAAGACTGTTGTTGGTGGTGACTGACAGTTTGTTGTGAATTGTAATGGTCCAGGTGAGTGTAGTCTTCAGAAAGACTGTTGTTGGTGGTGACTGGCGTTTCGACAACCTGAGCAGAAGTCACCTTCTGAGCTCAGTGAGAAAACAAAAGACAGTTGATAGTACAGGCATTATTATTATATTTTTTCATTGATTGATTGATTTTTTTTCCACTAGATCACAGCTGTTATAATATTAAAAAATCTTAATGATAACCCAATGGCCCTCTTTGCATTTCATCACTAAGATATAGAATATGGTTTTACTTACATACTCACACAAAAAAAATTTCTTTCTTATATCCTCTCTCCCACACAGTCACACACTTGTGCACTTGTAAACAGGTTAAAACTACAAATTGACCTAAAAAAATCTACCTTACCTCTGTTTAAGTTCCATATAGTCAGTGTGACTAACAGTGCCTAGATGTAAAACACATTTCTTTGTTATAGCCTATATTAAATACAGTATGCTGGAGATCATTTATTATCACTAGGTTAAAACTCGACTCAAGATAATTTTGGTGTTTAAGGGGCCAGGAAGTAGCTATGGCAACCAAGATACACCTCACCACCCAAGAACAGATAAAAATAATTAGAAATAAAGTCATGAATAAAACATTGTGATTCATTAGATATCACAACGTTAAAATTCGAAACTTAAAATGGAGGTACTAGCCATGGCAACCAAGATACAGTTCATTGCCCAAAAACTGATACAGGGTTCGTGCTGAGGTAAGCACTTCAATTCAAGGACTATTCAAGGAGTATACAAGGACCCAAAAATGAATTTTCAAGGAGTATGTTCAGCCAACTATGCCAAGGCTTTACACGGTGGTTGCACATGGTTGACTTTCAGATTTTCCAATCTTTCTGACTAGATCTATTTCAGAACCATGCAAGTAATGATCAAAGCAAAATTTCAAGGAGTTTTCAAGGAGTTTCGTTAAAATCGCAAAACTAAAGAGCTTTTCAAGTGCCCTTGAAAACGTGAATTAAATTCAAGGAGTTTTCAAGGAGTTTAAGGAGTAGCACGAACCCTGCTGATAATTAAAAAATGATTAGAAATAAAATCATGGATAAAACATTACCTTCATTTCCAGCACCATTCATCACCTTTCTCTCCCCTTCATCCTTTGCCACTTCTTCATCAAAATCTGATAAGGATAAACAATTATGCACTGTCTCATTTTAATTAACCAATTTTGATTGGGACCGAGGGAAACAGTGTGTTTTGTGGTCCTGAGACGGTATTGTTTTGTTATACACCAAGACTGTCAAAGAACACAAAACATAATAATAATTATTTTTTAATTATTATTTTATTTTGAAAAATTAGAAAAACTTACATTACTGGGAAAATTAGAGACGGCATTGTTTTGTTATACACCAAGTGTCAAAGAAGACAAAACAAGTATTTGATTTTTAGTACTATTTGATTTTGAAAAATTAGAAAAACTTACACTTCCGTGAAAATTACTTCCGGTATTATTATTACGGGTCAACAACATACAGTGTATTGTTGCCTGCTGAGAGCTGTTGCCAAGGAAACATTGAAACTTATTTACATTCATGTTATGACCTCTCGCCCAATCAGAGTACTAGAAAAGTACAGTTGGTATATAACAAATGTATTTATTATGCATGCCTGGGTGGCATAGCAATGTGCTCTTCTAATTTGATCCTAGGAGATATTCACGATAGGGCTAACCTCAATATCTCCTTTTGCACTCACTGATGCGAATAAATTAGTTTTTTTCCTTACCAATTGATGCCACCCAGGTTTGATTCAAAGGCTCAGTGTCATATGACAGTAGAGTTACTCGTTGGTTCTCCTTTGTGCTTTGAGGTTGGTCATTACAGTATTAACTCTGTGTTCTGATTGTTTGATTACTTACCATACCACAGCAAAGCATCATCTTCAAGTACTGGTTGCAAAAACTCCTGGTCATCCCAGGGGTATGGATGAGAAAATAAAGTCTTGAAGCTGTCTGGTGAAGGATTCTACAAGAAAACAAACCAATCTTTAGTCAGAAATAAGGTCCTTCATATCATATCATTGCTTGAAATTGCTGTTCAGGAAATTATTATGGAAACTTTTGAGAAAAATCAAGTGTTTTTGGATAAGGACCAACCCTTCCTTGACCTATAAATGGATGATGTTATTCGTGTAAGAGTAATGGACTGTCTCCCGGTTCAACAGCCTATTGTACACCAATTTGAAGGCATAACACTAATATACTGTACTAACCATTTACTCATGATTATAAGCTGAAAAGATATAACTAGCTAAAAACTAGTGTGAGCTG